AGTCCAAAGTGCTAAAGCAGTATTCTGACTCCAGCTCTCCTTGCAACAGGAAACAGCAGAACCCTCAAATGTCTAAAAACTGCGTCACAGAAAAGTTGTGCTCATCGAATCAGCGATACTTTCAATTACCGGTCGCTAGGTGGCGCTACGATTCAGTAATTTAATGAGACACGTGCACACTTCAGTCTGGGCACGACATCACCTGCATCCAAAATGATGAATACATGAAGATTCTTTTGGACCCAGGATGTGGTTGGGTTGCTCCAACGTGTTGGAAGAGTGATCAGCACAAACAGCACTCTGCTACACTGGTCAAGGAGGGTTCGAAGCAAGTTGAGGTGCGATGTGGGCTACAAAATAATTAGCAGGCTGTGCACAACAATTAGTTTAATTTTAAAAGAAGCGTTTGTGCAAAACGTGGCCGCGCTGGTCGTTTAGTCACAAATACGAAGAATTCAGCGCGACTGCTAGAAAAGAAATGGCACATTTTCACCCCCATTTTCAGCCATTTTTGAGTTTCCAGCAGTCACAGCCCAGCGGGGTCCTGCCTCAACAGGTAAGATATTAACGGTTTGTTTCTGTTCGCTGAACCTCTTTAAAAAAATCTGAATTTTCCTTCTAACTCCTCATTTTCACACCAAACAGCTGCACTTTGCTTAAACAGATATTTTCTGCCTTTGCTTGCGTTGGCTTCTGATTTGTAAACATAAAACTTCCCGGGCAGTAGATCCCGTCACGTGATAACGACAAAGCCCCGCCCACAGAGCTCCTGGCTCCGGGGTCATAAGTGATGAGCTGAATGGGGTCACATGTTGCTGGGACGTGTAAATCCGAGCCCGTTTGTTGGTCCGTGAGCTCGTCAGCCGAGCAGAACCGTGGAAACGAGACGTGAAGAAAATCTGTTTTCCTGGGAGAACGTGGAGCTCCGAGGCGGAACCGTTTCCCTTTCATGTCTGCGGAGCAGCAGCAGCAGCAAATTGAAGCCGAGTGTCGACCGCGCTTAATTGTCATCGCCAATTAGTGCATTGTGGGACGCCCACAATGGGGGAACTGTAGCGAGCAGAACCGGGTCCTTTGTGCTTCTCCAGTGGCCTGCGAGCCAGTCAGGACTCATTTGAGGGCCCGAACCACGACGAGGCAGAAATGCCACCGAAAATGAAAACAAAAGACGTTTAAGGAGGAGCAGAAGACGGAGGAGAAGAAGAAGGGGGGATGTGGACAGAGGAGGGAGGAACCGAACCTCTGGACTCGCATCACCACGAGTGTGTGCCTTGAACACACGCACACACACAGTGCCCCCACCTTTGGACATTTAGTGAGCGGCTACACAAAAGCCGGCCGGGCCCCCGGCGCTCCCTGTGACCCGGTTCTTAAGAAGCAGAACCGAGCGCCGCAGCTTTTTAACTGTTTCTGCATCGGATCTCCTGTGAAGACGTTTCTCGTGTTTTTTTTACTCAACCGACTGCGTAACTTCAAATATTTAATCTCTTGGGTTTTTAAAGAATTCGTCTCAACCAGGAATATTGTGCTGTGGCTTTTAGTAACTTTTATACTTTTATGTTATTTAATGATATTTACAGAACTTCATACTTTTATACGTT